ATTGCCATGTGGTCTCGGCATAGAATAGGTCACCCCTTCCTTCCCAGTGAGTGTCGTAAGAGGCGACTAAGGAATAGCAACGAATGGGCAGTAGCGTCCTTCTTAAAATACTTCTAAACCCTAACTGCGGTTGCCAATCCACTTGCCAAGCATGGCAACTACTTGCAAAACCCCCAAGGGAAGGCTTATGTTCAGTAGTGGACAGTTAAAAGCTGAAATGTTGACGATGATGCTGATGATTTCTGAAAACACGCTTAAACGCTTGCACTGTGTTTGAAATTATTTTATATTAAATTGAAAACTATCTATTAGAGTAATGAAAAACACAGCAGTAAAAAAGCAGTTTCATGTAAAAATCTTTACTATAGTCATCCAGACTAAGTTCAGTTACGCCACGAAAAAAGTACTTCTTATTATTTATACCACTTCAGTGGGAAACCTATTCCTCCCTGCTTCTACTTCTGGTGTTCTATCCACAGTATGTCAGCTTCTCTCAACATCTTCACTCTGACCTGCTATGATATCTCTTTCCTTGTAAAACCTATTCGGTATTAACTTTCTACCAACAATTATCTAGCATTTGGCAAGTATGTCAACAAACAAGGATAACTAATTTGCTCATTCTTCTCCACACAATTCAATCCCTAGCCATATTCTTGATATCCCTATACGATATGACACCTAACCTTTTCTTTATTTGTTCCATGTAGCTAATTATTCCTTGGTCATCTCCTTCTTATTTTTTTTATACAACTTAGAATGGCAAACAAGCTGACGGCCCACCTGATGCAAGACATTAGCAGTACCATGGAAATAACAGAGTATATTGCTTCCATACTACGCCCATGATACCCCCCATGTGTTGCCATTCCTGAGGACTCAAGTGTTATTCCTCTGTACCCGCTAAATTCACGCCATATCCCACCCTTCAAACCGAAACACAGTCATGCAAACACAACTGCTTCACGGTTGAAACACGAATGGGACAGAGGTAGGTACCCAAGCAATCGACTTTTGTTCAAAGTCTCCTTCTGGTAATTTTGCCTTCTATCTTTTCTTCTAAGATGTAGTTTATGTCATTGCCTTAAAAAACTTATATTTTAAAACAGTTGTAATGCTTTATGTAGAATTTCTTTCATTCTATTCAGACCTATATTCAACTGTGAGATAATTTGCCTAGACTGCAATAAGAAACGTTGTTTATCTACTCGCATTCATCGGTATTAACAGAATGTTACTTGCAATTAATAGCATACCATATTATAACATTACAAGTAACTATATACGACACACGGAAGTCGCTACCATTGCCTGATTGGAAGGAAGCTCCGTTTAACAAACCAGTTCATACCACACTTTCTTGTGAAACAATTTCTTTTTAATTTTATAATCACTTCATGCTTTTAAACTTTGCAAGTGTACAAGAATTGTAATTACCTTTTTACTTAATTAAAATGGTTAAAGTGATAACAAAGAATGCTAAAAATATCTCAAATATTGAACGATCAAAATATTTGAAATATGGTATATATATATATATATATAGTGCAACTTCAATTCGTGCGATAGTCGTTGATTTTCGCTCAAAAAAAAAATAGTAACAGAATTATTATATTAAATACACAAGTACACATTTATCAGAAAAACGCATTCTTTATAATTTTATTATATTATTATATGGCTGTGTTTCAGTTTGAAGAGTGGGATATGGTAATGAAATTATAGGATACAGAGGCATAACACCTTAGTTCCAGGAGAAAAGGGATTGTTAGTAATGGAGTCTAATGAACCCATTGTTAGCAATACACTCTATCAGGTCGACCTCCACGTGGTTCCCCCTGGAAACCATCGTGAATAATTCTTGTTGAATTCGCCACAATGGGCTAACTGACCTGCTTCATCCTCATCTATCATCCTTCACTGGTGCCCCGTCGGTGTATACCGATAGCGCGGGCGGGGTTACCATTCCATTATCACCCATTAAAAAAAAACACCTTAGTTCTAAGTGAGTGTCCTAATAACCCCGTCAGTTAGAAACCGATTTAGTAAATTCTTATTTATCTAATAGGATATACTTCCAAATTGATCCCAATTAGAAATTTTATCAAAGTTAATTTTGTAGTTTGGGTTATAAAAATAATAACTGACTACAATCGTGGTTTTGCTACGAATAAAGTCGTTTTTTGGCGGAGATAAATATAATTGTTATTTATTCAAATATTTTATGCCATCCATAAAGCGTTGTCATATCGCAAATCTGATGAAAACCTTGTCTGATTATACCACAATTCAGAACTTCCTTAATCTAAATGTGGGAAAAACAAGAAGTGAATAAGTATAAACCTAAAGTCGCAAATACATAATTAAATGTAGATGTCATTTTATTTTCACCCTACATAATGTATTTAAAAATAAATTAACTCGTTATGAGTTAATTTACATGTTTTTTTACATAATGGCTGAAATTATAATCATACTATCATTAAATACTTCAGCCATTATTTTTCATTATCAATTCAGATTAAGTAGCATTTTATCTCTCGTCACAAAAATAGATGAAACTGTTATAAGCTACCTGTATTCATTGTAAATCCACTCATTTGTATTTCATTAAAATCTTGGCAAGATATCTTATGTGAATACTTCATCTAGTAGTGCTGAAGGATCATTCGATACTATGTACAAACATATCATACAAGTAAAATCTATTTCAAAAGAATAGTAAAAAAAAGTGATCCAGTTTTTTTTTAAATCATTTTTTTATGCTACCTAGACTAACAAACAAGCTGACGGCCCACTTGATGGAAAGAGGTAACCGTCGCCTATAAACATAAGCAGTACTATGGACATAATAGAGTATACTGTTTCGCCCATGATACCCCCCATGTGTTGCCATTCCTGGGGATTTAGGTGTTATTACTCTGTACCCTGTAAATTCACTGCCATATTCCACCCTTCAAACCGAAACACAGACATGCAAACACAACTGTTTCACGGTAAAAACATGAATGGAACAGAAGTGCCCAAGCAAACGACTTTTGTACAAAGTCTCCCTTTGGTAAAGAAATACTCTCTAAACAGTAACAAATTAATAGATTTTAAAATTGTATTGTATTGTAAAATCTTTATTATACATTATTTATATTGGACACATTAAAAGATTTAAGTGTATTGTATACAGAATTATACTACTATTGTACATTATATACTTTTATAGTCAATTATTCATTTATAACAGAATTTAATGAAATTGCTATTACATTAAGTTCTGTAGAAACAAACTATAGCGTCGCGATTCAACAATGTTTCTTTCCCATCCCTATCAGTGAATACAAATAATAATTACCTTCGTAAAAAGCTACATGGTCCAGTGGTATATTACTTCGACTTATACACCTCAAGGTCGTAAAATGAATATGACCGATATTAAAAAAGTTCGTGTATTAATTTTAATTTCCGACTAACTCTCCAGTAATGGTAACCACTTATAATAAAAGTACTTAATTCGAGTGACGGCGGTTGGCTCGTCTCCTGCCCAATTGAACCTTACCTTATTAAAATTCAATCTAAGATATCTTCTCTAATGAGAAATCAGTCGACGTACGTCCATAGGTACATCCGAGAAAACCAAGACGAAAGTCAATTTGGTACAATAGGTTTTCTAAATTGTCCCAAAAAATACAACCGGAACTTTATTTTCGCTAACTAATCTCACAATATTCAAGACACGTTCATTGTTCATAAATCACAAGAAGATTCCACCAATCCCTGCCTTATATGCTTCTAATTCTACACATTACCAGAAGGAGACTTTGTACAAAAGTCGATTGCTTGGGTACCTCTGTCTTATTCGTGTTTCAACCGTGAAGCAGTTGTATTTGCATGGCTGTGTTTCGGTTTGAAGGGTGGGATATGGCGTGAATTTACAGGGTACAGAGGAATAACACCTGAGTCCTCAGGAAAGGCAACGCATGGGGGGTATCATGGGCGAAACAGTATACTCTGTTATGTCCATGGTACTGCTCATGTCTATAGGCAATGGTTACCATTTTCCATCAGGTGGGCCATCAGCTTGTTTGCCATTCTAAGTTGTATAAAAAAAAACATACATAATAATACATGAGATCATCAATGCAGAAAATACCACCACCATATCTGATCATGTAATGCACCAATTACTATACGCTTTAAATGAGCAATCGAGATTGCGAAATGTTATGTTCTTGTGCAATTGCTATCACAATTATCCGATCAAGTTTTATGAGGCGTGCTGTGAAATCCCAAATTGTTATAAAGTTATGTAGGTTGATGATTATAATACTGTAACACGTATCCTTGAATACCTACTCGTGTTTCCAAATATATTTGTTTTTTTCTTATAACTATTGTATTTTTATATCTACAAATTAGAACTAACTATACATTGTATGTATAGTTAGTCCTAAATTATCTTCAGTACAATCATCAAAGTATTTGTTAATTTTTGAATTATCAGATAATATTCTTTATCGACTAATAGAAATTATAATAATCTAAATAAAAGGTATAGTTTTTTTTTTATGTTACTATTGTTAATTAAATGTATCTAATCTGTATTCTCCTAATATCAATTCGCCAATCCATATAAAACTTTTTCTACCAATGTGCTAAGTCAACATAACATAAATTATGAAATCACTACTTGTTAGAAACGGTGATGTTAAATTATGAAACTGCAAACTACTACTAAACTACTTGTATCATTTCAGAAAGTTTTGTAGCGTCTATAATGCATTTATATGTACATAATGCATGTTTTTATCTATGAGCGAATTTATTTTGATCTTAATTTTAACTTTCGAAAGTAATTTTATTGTTTTATTTGCCATCACTCATCTCATGTGTGTGCTTATTATCGTGTTATATAATTTGGTGCTACACTTTCCTTTTACATTTTTTGTGGATGTGTGCTTAGTTTCTGTTTCAATGATGGATATAATGAAATAATAAATATAGGTACAAACATTTGAACAATTTTATTTATCAGCCTCAACTCAAAGTACCATTTTGTACTTCGATAAGTTATAATACATAAAAAAAAAAACAAGCAATTATATAAGCTAAACAAGTAACAACATATTTATATCTACAATTGGACAGACCGACCGCGCATCGTTAATCAATGCTATGCGGACAACAATTTGAGCTCGTGTAGGAACCGATCGTGAACCTACTACCGGCCCATCAGTACCACCGTGGTAACATCACAACCTTACACGTGAGCGATCAGCACCGATGCAGTCAAGTTGCAAATACATACACTACAAATACTAAATAAAAGATCACATTTTTTCTTAGCCTATAAGGTACTGGTGTGAGCGAAGGTACCGACGGCGCTTAGTGCCAACCGTGGTGTTCCTCCTCTTTCTTAATGTAAACGGGTACGTGCACCTTCACGGGGTAAGGTACCTCTTTAACGAGGGGTACAGGCACCTCCTTGTATACTGGGTAAGGCTTGTCAATGGGTACCTTGACTTCATAAGGCACCTTCTTCTCAACGGTGTAGGGAATCTTCTTGTACACATCATAAGGCTTGGGAACTGGTACCTTAACTGGCACTGGGTAAGGTTTCTCGACCTCAACCTTGTAAGGCTTGTCGACTGGGACCTTGACTTCGTACGGCACAGGCCTGTGGACTGTTACTGGGTAAGGTTTCTCCACTGGCACTGGGTAAGGCTTGGGCACGTACACATTGTAAGGCTTGTCGACGGGTACTTTCACTTCATAAGGTACCTTCTTAATGACCTCATAAGGCTGGGGTACTTTGACTTCGTACTTGACTGGGTACGGCACCTTTTTCTCAACAGTGTAAGGCTGTGGGTAGGGCACTTTGACTTCATAAGGGATCTTTTTCTCAACGGTGTAGGGAGTGGGCACTTTCACTTTAACTTCAAATGGCTTGTCAACTGGAACCTTGACTTCATAGGGAACTTTCTTCTCTACAGTGTAAGGCTCAGGCACATAGACCGGGTATTTAACGTACTCCTTAACAGTGACGGGGACCTTCTTCTCAACGGTGTAGGGCTGGGGCACGGGCACTTTGACTTCATAGGGCACTTTCTTCTCAACGGTGTAGGGGACGTGTTTCTCTACAGTGTATGGCACGGGGACTTTCTTGACGACTTCGATGGTCTTGACGTGTTCATGGCCATGTTCACCGTAGTCGCCGCCGCCGCCGCTGGAGATAGGCTTCCAGTCGCCTCCGCTGGAGTAACCACCACCACCTCCGAGGCTCAAGGATTCATGGCCACCGAAATCGTGTCCGCCTTCCTGGCCACCTAGACTGTAACCTTCAGAGCCACCAAAGCTGTGTCCCTCAGAAACTGAGTATCCGTGGCCCTCATCCCCTCCTCCGATGCTGCCGCCGCCATAAGAACCGATGTCATAGATTCCCCGTTTGTCCTGCTTCTTACTGTCTTCAGCTGCCGCTTTTTTAGGTGCACCTTTCTCCTCACTGGCAAAGGCCACCACGGCCAACGATGCTACTAAAACAACCTGCGAACAAAACATAGAATTCATTAAGGACAAGTAAATGTCACGTTTACGTTAAATTTAACATGTAACGAGTTCGATCTACTAGACTATAACGAGTCTAGAATATTAAGTGTACACTTTCCCAAGCTTGGGAGCAACAAACAAATTAGAGAAGCTTGTATCTCCGCGTTTCATTGTTCACCGTAATAGCAAAGTAACGTGTTTTCCGCTATTATTAACATTACAAGAAGTTTTCACTATTATTTTATAATTATAAGCGTCTATTAAAAGTCTCGTAATTAGCAGACCAAAAGGAAGATGGTTGTATTCTTTAACTAAAAAATCTAAATAATATTTAAATGAAAACTGCTTTAAAAGTATATAACTTTTAAAGGCAAAGTATTGATATTTCATAATTATTATTCCATTTGGTACAAAATACTAGATATCTGGTTATGTAATGAGATATGATCAGAACATGACGGACAGGAAATCAAGTAGTACTTTCTGTTCCACTTATTTTATCGAAATACGTATCTCGGAGTGTTTCAATATAAATCTATAAACAATGATAATACTAAACTACTTTTACTTTTATTTATATAATTGGGAAACGCCAAGTAAGTTCACGCCCCATCAGATAAAGTGGGTGGCTAATAAATATTAATGACACCATAGACAGAGTACCATGTTATTTATTCTATCTCTGACAAATATATTGCTAATACTGAATATTTAATATTAAACCTCGTAATGTCAGAGATAACTCTATCCATTGACTATTTTAACCAAAAAATATAATCAACAGGGTTATAATTTAAATTATATAAAACGTTAATCTCTAAAATAAACTCCTTACTACTAAATATCGTAAATGTGAAAGTTTGTTTTTCTCTCATGGCGCCATAATGACTTAACCGGTGATTAAAAATTTAGCATACATATAATATTTGATATGAAGACATAAGTTACTTTTCGCCCCGGTCAATCAATATATCCCGGTCACGCAAACAAAGTTATGGAAAGTCAATAATAAACTAATAAACTTTTACCATACTATGTACTTAATTGTTACATGTTTCCCATACAAGGACTACAACTTCAGCTATACAACCACAATCTCTAATAGGCGCATTAAAGTCTATTGTCCATGTATTAAACAATTGACCATTTTTAGAATAAATTACCCGTTGTTGCGTCCATGTACAGAGAGACGCAGGTACAATTACTTAACCCAGATTTGGAAATCATGGGATTGTCTCGAAAACTCATTGAGATATAGTATGGAGCTATAATCTGAATGTTCAACAGCCCATATTTAATTACGAAACTATAGTAGTAGCTAGTGAAAGTTGTATGGTATGTATGGTGGATTAAAGCACTACCTTGAAGTTAACACGGCTCGTCGAACATTTACCACATAGAGGTAATATGTATATCCACACTAATATTATAAATGCTAAAATAACTCTGCTTTTTGCCTGTATGTATGTGACCTTTTCACGCATAAACCACTGAACCAATTTTGATGAATTTTTCTATAGAAATAGATTGTACCTTGGAGAAGGATATAGGCTACTTTTATCCCAGTTACTGAATATATCTCGGTCACGTGAACGTATTTTATTTTAAGATTAAAATTTCCAAATTCAAATTCCCTTATAAAATGCTCTTATATTCTTTAGTTTTTAGTTTACAACCAAAAGTATTAACACATTATTACCCTAAATAAATTTAATCTACAGCTTACTAATGAGTAAACCTTTTATTTTTATGAATATAATAATAAATATCAAAATAAGTATTAATTAAAATGTAGCGTTATATATATACATATATACAAAGTAGGTTTTAGTTGTGAAAACACAACAAATAGTCAGAATCGTTTTCACAGTGACCTCTTCGATATTAATACCTTACTGTTCCAAATTTTGTAAGCTTAGATGATGGAATCAATGTTATGGCTGTTTTATAATTAAAGTTATGTATTTCTATTTTACAAAAATAAACATGTTAATTAATTTATTGTTTTTAAACAAACTAATATATAAAGAGGAAAGATTTGATTTTTTTTATTTGTAATAGATAAACTAAAAATACATAACCGGTTTTGAAAATTGTTTCCAAAATTATAAAATATTTTAATAACTAATATGCATTATATTTCAATAAAAAAACCTACACAATAATTTTTAGACTGAACAATTTCAAAAAGATTTATGAATGAAAAATATTATTATTTATTTCCTTGTTTTAATGCTTTCTAATTGCCGTTAGAAACCTACAAAAATATAAACTCTTTTCACAAATAGATCCGGTTCAATCCAATATTTTGTATTCATCTCGTGGAGCTTATGGTGATCGAGTTTAGGAGATGCATACACAAATAGATGTATTGAGTTAAAAATAAGTCATTTAAATTCATATAACTTTTCCTGTGTATGCTATTTTTCGTTATTTTTAAGCGACTTCCAAAAGTTTTCAATTCATACATTTTTGAAATGATTGAGTGTGTCCCCGTGCTGTTTCCATTTCGATTTTATGACGATTAAAGCTACCGTTTTTCTTTACGGAGCAAATAATAGTTTTTGCAAAACTAAATCCTATATGCAAATTTTTCGTACAAAATTTTCTACAAAATATCTCCTACTATACCAGTATGTGCGTTTACAATTGAAATCGTTTTTTTTTTTTTGCTACTTAATAAATAATTGATACAACAAGCAATATGCTTGTTGTATCAATTATTCTAATGGCATCTTTTAGTTTTACGGAAGTTATATTAAAACCGATTAATATGCAAAAACGAATTACTACTTGAATAAATCTTGAAAATGTATATGGTTTATATAAATAATTATATTTTATAATTGGACATTATAATAAATTATCAATTGAAATTAATTTATGTATAATTTCTGTATCTAAATATTGCTACCAGTTGATGTATTCTGTAAGTTTGTAAGCATCTATCGTAACTGAAACATAGTAGTTTATCTAAAAAAAATTTTTTGACATCGAATTTTTTGCTTTTGCAAACGTTAAATTAAAAAATTTTCGTAGTCAATTCCATATTTATATTAAAAAAGTTGTCACAAATACCATCAACAAGTGTAGTGTACATCAAAGCTAACTGGTAAACACGAATACGCATACTTGGAACTAATTACTGCGAGTCAATCGACTAATGTCATAATCGATGAGCACATATTATATACCATGACTTAACACGTTCATTAATCAACTATAATATACATAAATTGCATTTACATCTTATTATTTATATTTTGTTTAATTTAATGTAACAAATTATACTCTAAATGATAGCATTAAATAATATGCTATTTTTGCAAAAAAAAAAATGTAATAAAAAATTAAAGATTTTATCTCACTAAAAATATATAGGCACGTCAATTATATTATTAGTATTGTTATATAAATATAAAATAATACTACTTGAATACTTGTACCTAAATATTGATATGTCATTGCAAATTTTGTTACCGTACATATATATAATATACAAGTATCTATCAAATTAATAGATTTATTTAGAACTAGATTATAAATCATGTTATCTAATCGAAGCTAATATCATTTTTAAATATTACTTCTTTAGAAACAAGCAGTAACGTAGTACAATGAACTGTGATAATTCTATCCACCTACGCACTACAATTTCCGGCTAAATGTCTATAATTTTCGAAACTTTCTCATTTGTACTTGAAAAGAAAGTGAATAGAAAATTGCACTCAGAGCCTGTTTTACTAAGAAAATTAGATGTTTACTTGTCAACATAAGTATGCACTTAGTAAACTCTATTTAGTACCCATTATGTCATAAGAACATTTATTGTAAAAAAAACAAAGAATAGAAAAAAAAGCTAGAAGCATTACACTGATTGTGAATTATTTTTATGTTGTTGTTAAAATCTAAACTTAATAAATGAAATTAAACTTTTTATGACTCCTCGAATAAATTAAATTAGACTCTTTTTACTCCTTATAACGTAAACGGGAATGCACTTCCTAAAAAAAAACCGATTGTCGTTCGAAATTCAAAAATGGCGCGCTCTAAATAAATTTTCACTTTTTGGCACAACACTTCCACTTCACTTGGTTATTTTAACTCACCAAGAGCTTCATGTTGCTGTGTGTCTCCGTCAAACGCCGAAGACTGGTTGTGTGTGGAGTCCATGTAACCATCAGGTTATATACCGTCCCTCCCACTGTGCGAACGGCGCCAAGATACAGCCAAAGAAGGGTGAACGTTTGGATTCAATAATGACATGTATTAATTGTAAACTTGCATCTGTGATTGCAGTCCGTTCTGAAACTGGATCGATCTTCACATGGATATCACCTCGTTACCTACATACGTCATAAAAATGGGGTATTTCTTACGCCTATCAATTAATCATTCATTAGACTATGTTTTGTGTCTGTTACTAAAGCAACTCTTAGAAAACCTCTATAAATTTCATTTATCCTAGGTAGTACTTACATTAAACTATTTTAGGTATTATAAAGCATAGTCATCTGTACCTAACATGGTTGTAAGTAGCTGTATATTAAAAGTGACCCTTATAAATGAATGAGAAAAACTCATTCATTGATTTTTTTTCATTGAACCATTCGTATTACATAAGTGAAGGCACTTGATGGGTTAATTATAGTTACTGTTAATTACTTTTATCTTAGTTTGATACAGTTAGGCTTACAATCTATATCGCTTGAACATTTTATTGCAATACAATGCGGACTAAAATATTCTAACTTACGTCTATGCGAAAGTAATTATCAAATTTAAAAATAGAGTATCTCAGTTCATTGTTTTTTTATTTTTAATAGAACTACATGTATCCGGAGTTTGAACACGTGAAATAGGATGAAAATTATATTACGTTTTAAGCGTAATTACATTCAAATATTTTAACAACCTTTCACATTTATAATATTGATAGAATAGGATTCTGGGATTATCAAGCAAGTCTTATTTCATTCTCGAGTATAATAATGATACTTTTTAAATTTTTTTGCCGTTAAGTAGCTGTACTTATACACCTGTGTTTTGATTTGAAGAAGGAATAAACTTGAGCGCTTACAAAATTTAGCTATCAGATTTGTCTTCAGTCTACGTAAGTATGATCATGTCTCCGCTTTTCGCGCTTAGTTAAAATGACTCCCAATCCGATTTTGACATAATATGCACATCCTCTCCACTCTCTATAATATTCTTAATAATCCCAACTCTCCATCTTACTCCCGGTTTCAAAACCTGTCCCCTCCCACACGTCCCAAGCGTGCTTGTCTGGTCTAGTCCAAAGTGTTAGAACTCCCTTCTTGTAAGACCTATTTTTTTGGAAACTCCTTCACATTTCGTGCTGCACAACTGTGGAACAGACTACCTGCTGACATACGGGATAGTCCTTCCATTACTTCCTTCAAGAGAAGATTGAAATCACACCTTTTAACCAATAGTACATTACAATTCTATGCACTTATACATATGTATATATTATCTATTTACTTATTTATGTATTTATTAATTTTTTGTTTGTTCGTTCCTTCGTTCGTTTGTTTGTTTATTTATTTATTCACAATTTGTGTTCGTTTGTTGTATTGACATTATTTTTACCGGTACCTTTCCTGCACTTGGCGGGTACGCTAATTAATTATTTTCTCTCTAACTACACTGGGTTGGCTGGAAGAGATCTCTTTCAGAGATAAGCCCTCCCTTGCTAACAAGTTGTTAAACTAATCGCTATGTGTATTATTTAAGTGCAATAAAGAATATATAAGGATATATGATAAGGCAATTACATAGTAAGTACAGGTGCATTCATGCCCAGAAATGGCATTGCATGAAAAAGACTATAAGCACCACAGTGCACTCTGTACTGACCGTGGTGGTGTTAGTATCTGTAGGGGACAGTAATCACTTTCCATCAGATCGGCAGTCAGCTTGTTTGCCTTTTTATGTATAAAAAAAAATTGAGTGGCGTTTACTATCTCTAGTCTCTGATCTTTGATAATTAGAATAAGGGTTACATCATTCAAATGACTTTTCATATGATCCCGGACATAATAATCCATTAGTGTTGGATCTGAGCTCTTCTCCGGTCAATCCGCCGTGTCACAGAATAGATATGTTCATTCCGAAGCCTGGCGATACCATCATCATCATATCAGCCGTTAAATGTCCTCTGCTGAATATAAGCCTCCTCCTAGGGTTTTCAGGCAGATTGGTAATCGTAGTTAGGCTTTGATGATGTTTAAAAGGGATTTAGCTGCTCCTATCCCAACCGTTAAGCTTCGTTAGTCGCCTCTTACGACACCCACGGGAATGAAAGGGGTGGCCCAGTTTATACCGGGCCCACACGGCAATATATTGTAAATTTAATTGTATATCTTTATTATGAAGTAAATTGTATATGTATTTATTGTGAAGTAAGTTGTATATGTATTCTGTATTACCTACTTCAATGGTTGGGAAAATTATTTTCTAGCCTCTCCTCGCCATAATTCGGAAATGCGTAGCCCCCATACGACGACATCTGTCGGGTAAAATAGAAATCATTATATAATAACTGGTAAAATCTACTCTGAAAGAAGAATTCTAAACAATTTTTTTTAAAGAGACATGGATTTGAATACTCTGGACATATAAAATTTAATTTTAAACAAAGAAGAGCATGTGTTGTTTGTGTTAGATAACTAATACATATTTAAACATATTTGAAATTATTTCCCAAAAGATCTTGGTCACGTTTCTCTTTATTTTCAACCGACTTCAAAAATAAGGAGGTTCCTAATTTAGTTGTATTTTTTTATATTTGTTATCTCATAATTTCATCAATTGTAAACCGACCTAAAACTAACACAATAGTTTGAATCAGGTTTTAAATATATCCTAATACATATATTTATATAGAAAAAGGTCCGTCTATGCACCAAATTTCATTTAAATTAGTTCAAGCGTCATAGTGTAACAAACATCTTTACAAACTAAAGCTATTACAATCAGTATCTCGCTGCTAAATCAAAGGATATCCGGTGTCGGATATTAATCAAAGTGTATCTAATATGTAGTTACCTATTAGTTTTTATCTATAAATTAATATTTATTATGTATATTTAAAAAATGGATTCGTTACACTCGAACGACAGCCTCCGCGCAGCAGTGGAAAAAAATGTCTCAATTTTGTTTATATCACAGGAGGTAAATGTGCATGCGGCTTACCTGGTGGTAAGTGACTACCGCCGCCCATAATCACCCACAACATCAAGAAGCATTGCAGTTGTGCTGCCGGCCTTTTAAAAAAGCCTATAGTATTGGTTCAAGTGATATCGCTGGCAAGGTATGATTGAGGAATGATAAATGAAGGCGAAGTTAGGAGTCAACCGTCGTGACAAATTTACTAGGTATTAAATACGACAATTTACAGTTGCTTAACCCTAATATACCCTATATACATTAGCATGTTTAAGATTATTTTTCATGATGAATCTGACCCTTTATAAGAGGACTATACATATACTCCTACAGAGAGAGAGTACAGACTCTCATGTCTTAGAGAAATTGAAATTGTAAAACTCGCCTAAATCCAGGGGTGAACACGGTGTAACTACCGTGTATAATATATTATATTATAACTAGTTCCTGTTCCTATTAATCCCATCTTCCATTCACTGTAATCCCTGTTTAAATCTATTAAAGAATTATAATGGTCACTTTCTTCGTGACTCAAAAGGAAAACGTAATCTTGTCAGAATTAAGCCTTCTCGGCGGATATTGATCAAAGTAACCAATAGTTAACATATCAGGGTTTGATGCAAATTGATGATTGTTATGTGTATTGAATAATGCATTAGGTGGTTATAATTAGAGTCGATGCACACAGGCGGTTGCGCCGGCGTCGGTGCTGCGCATACCTATTGGAACATATCGTGGAGCATACCGTAGATTAGTAGATTGGTAGTGACACTGGGACAGATTCTTATTAGACAGATTTTAATTAGAACATCATCAACATAATAACAGCCTTTAACTGTCCATTGCTGAACAGAAGCCTCCCCCTAGGGGGGCTTTGCCAATAGTTGTCACTCTAGACAGACGGAATTAGTAACCGTAGTTAGGCTTTAGAGATATAGGAGGGTCTCCTTTAAGAGGGACGCTGCTGTCCAACTCTCGCCCTCCCTTAGTTGCCTCTTACGACACCCATGGGAAAAGAAGGGCTAACCTGTTCTATACCGGCACTACACAGAAATTAATTTAATTAGATAATTTCACAAAATTTCTGTTACAGGACTTTATAAACTAATATTATTATAACTTTACTCTTAAATCTATTAGAAAATGATGTCCTATTGGCCCTTAAAACAAAGATTTCGCTATGATATTAAATTGAAATTTTAATTTTGGTTTTATCACATATTCCACGTTTTGCCGATGACTCGTTTACAACTTGTTTCGGAGAACTATTGTATATTACAGACAAAAATATATTTATTTTCTCAATGAGGTTCTCAATTCGATTGTAGTCTTTTTTTTATATTTGTTACCTCATAACTCTCGTCAAAAGGATATACATAAATTGGTCCCATAGAAATTTTATTAAACTCGATTCAGTAATTTAGTTTTTAAATCAAAATTGATTTTGCCACAACTGAATTCGGTTTTTTTCTGCAGAACATAATTTTAAATTATCATATAAATAAACTTTTATATGATGTGCATGGTCATGACTGTAATTAACAAAATTATTCAGTGTTTACATAAATGGTGTTAAAAATTTATAATATTTAAATCTAAACTATAAATTAATGAACAAACAAACATAACTATACGATTCTATCTTTATCTATGTGCGATCTACTTGCATTTAATTGCGAATAACTCTACCATTTCACATTACCGCGTTTGCATCAGACGGCTATAAAATTATCCAACAGGCCGGTAGGTACTTACGCTTTCTTAGCCACAGCAATATCAAAATTCTTCTGCATATTTATATTCATCTCGTTTATGAAAAAATACTTGCATTTTGCTCCGCTAAAGCACCTTTAACTAATGTAATACACTAATGTAATAAGTTATGGAGACTGACGCCCCCATCACTGACACATGTTTGTACACGTGCAAGTGTGTTCTATGTCATGTTTAAGTCACAGAATGGGAGTAAGATCAACTCAAAAGAGTGACCA